CGTAAACAGTGGCGTTCGTGCATCTCAATTTCTTTGCAGCCATAGTTTACTGGAGTCCTCGATTTTCTCCTCGACTTAACTTTCAACCTTCCTGTCTTTCTCTTACTGTTTCATCCAAATGGACAGTCAAAAGGCAGCAACCAAAACCGGCGCACAAAAGTGCGTGGTTTGTAGTTGTTCAGACTGAAATCGAAATCAAGTTGTCCAAAGGTTTGGTTTTTTTCGGCTGACAGGTACCAAATGTTTCAATTCACAGTATGAGCCAATTCAAACTGACCACATCACAATAGCTGCAGCGTATTATTTAATACAAAAACGTAATTCTTATGAAACCAACTGCTTGATTTATTTATATGTTGAATCTGGCACACTTTTCAGCTTACCGCACCAGTCTGCAGTAAAAACCACAATCTTGGTTGGCTCTCGAACCATTGCATGACCCGGGCAGCGGGGTTGTCTCAATCATGGGAGCCGTCACCAGCGTTCTAAAGGTCTTAGAGTCCGAGGTTCGAATCCTGCCATAGCCATTCAACTTTGGTGGTAAACAAATCCGATTTTGTTCGGTTCAGTACCCAAACTAGCCTAGGGGGCCTTAGGTAACTCGTACCTTCGCCCACTGCAAAACCGAATTCTTGACTTCATTCACCACAGTAGCCGAGCATTTTGGTTCTTTGTCAAGGCAGCTTTCCACAATTTCACGAATAGCGAAAGCTATATACATTCAGTTGGCCACCGGTCCGGCAACGTCATACACGGCGGGGTGTAGGCGCTAAAGGCTGGTGCGAGAGTTGCGTGTCAGATTTTTCGAGTACATGGCCCTACCGCTGAAGGCGCTGGCGTTGCAGTATTTGAGAAAGCTTGTCGATCTTCGAGCAGCACCATCCAACCTCGTCATTGGAGGTCCCGATCTTCAATTTACTTTTATGATGCAGCTTAAGCACCAGTGATCAAGGAGCTCGAGCTTCCTTTTATCTTGTACTCGTAGGGGCCATAAAAATCATTTCACAACCATAAGTGAGGATTGGGCGGATGGAAGCCTGATAAAGCTTGAAAAGCTTATTGTGTAGGCTTATTTTGCATCGGCTCCACAACGGTTTGAGGATCTGCAAGGAAATTATTCCAGCCTCATCTAAATGAAGTTGGATTCCATGCTTAGGCTGTGATTGATTTGACAAACTCCCCGGTAATGGAGGGGATTGTGTTATGACAGAAATTTCGGTGGCAAATCTCTTGGTTTTCCACGTGCTGATCTCTAGCTCAATGGCCTGGGTAAGCTGGTTAATGTCACTGGCAATAAGCTCGAGGTTGCCCATGGTGTCCCCAACTACAACGAAATCACCCACAGACTCAAGGGCATCGATTCATGTATCGGGATCAAGCTGCTCTCAATTTGGTTGCAATATAAATGAAGCTAATACCCCTATACTTTTCGCATTTTGATCTGTCCTTTTTGGAATAGAGAATTTACCCAATCTTTTGGAAATACTTTTATTTCCTAATTAGAGTAGAAACGTAGAGTACGGCTGATCGATCTGAGTTGCTTGCAAGCTTTGAATAGCTCTGGTGGTATCCCGTTTTCTCCTGGGGCCTTCCTGCTTTCCAGGGAAGTGAGTGCACTGGTGATTTCTGTCATACTAAGTGGGTTACAATTGATATCATAGGTCTCCGAACTGGTTGACATCTGTGGACAGCTGAGCAGCTCGTCGAAGTGTTTGACTATCATTAGCATATTCTGCTCATTTCCCTGAGTAAGTTGGCCTGCGGTTTTGTGCAATAATGCCCTCAATGTCCTTCTCTTTCCTGGTGAGACACGGATTGGACGAAATAACTTTCCAAAGTCCGCTGCGACGGTTGAAGCCTCCTTGCTATCTACAATCACCGTCCTGTATTGTCTATGGCCCCACTTGACGGGGCATGTAGCTTGGCGATGTAAACTACGGAATTCAGAAGAATTAATTAGCTGCGCCTCTTGCCTTTGCGAACGACTGCAGTGTACGCCCAGAGATCCAGTCGTTTATGTGGTGAAGAGTTTCATTTAATTGCCTAGCGCCGCTTCCCCGATGGGTGTTTTCAGCGTGGACCACTGTGTGTCAACAGTCGCGCCGTCGAGAGGGGTTGCGGTTATGTTGGAAGTGGTTGCTTCTAGCAACACCTGCCTTTTTCAGGTAGTTCCAAGAGAGGGACGGTGAATTTACCTGGGAGACAAGTCCTCTGGCAAACAGTCACGTGGATCTTGAAGCGGGCGCGTTATGGCTTGTGTCGTTACTGTTTCCCGTTTCTGCGCTGCGATAAAAACAGTGGTCATCGAACAGCCTTCCTCTATGTATCATGCTTGCCGGGGAAGACAGCGGGTGGAAAAAAGCCGATAGTGATTAACGTTGGACGCAATATAAGGGTTTGAAAATCCTGCATAATAAGCGTGGTCATAAGAATCGCGTTAAGGTTCCTGATTGTGGACTTTATGTTCGTCCTCATCGATGGCCGGAAATGCTGAGTGATATGACTTCATGTCGTCCACATTGGTGCTCATGCATCTATTCACTCTCTGAACGCATTTACTTTACCTTTCTGTGTATATAATTTTCTTGTCACCGGTTTCATGTTTTGCTTTTTCCGTCAATACTTTCTTTAATTTTTTTCTACACACTTTTATGTGATGTAAGATGAGATAAACCTCAGTCGCAGAGACCTGCTGTTCTGAGATGAAACCTGGCAACCTAAGCCTCGGAACGTGGAGTGGTGAACCGCAAAAAGAGCCCCGCTAGGTTAGGTATGGTATTGAACCGAACGACAGCAAAGCTGTCTACCTTCAAAGTTGGGTAGCGGTGGCGGGGTTCGAACCACTGCACCATCACCATCCCAGTGGTCATCTGATAGATGGCAACGGAGTTCTACCCCAGAAAATGCCGAGTTAATTGACACACAAACAGAAACTTTATAGCCTCTCCATTTTTAAATAGCCTACTGGATAGTTTTGCCTACAGTCGTCTCATACTTCCTCTACTTGATAATAGTGAAACACATTGGTCTGTGTTTTCTTGTCTTCCAGATTTCGTGGCCAGTTGTGGTGCCGTAGTGCCATTTTCTCAAGATGGATCTTGAGAGCCACAAGTCACGCCTGGCAGCTAAAGTTACCACAGACTTACTTGTGGCCATTCTGCGTAAGTTGTTTGTTCTAGCGGATCAACTCATTATTTATTCCCTCTCTCGCTCGTTCAGTTCACGTTTCTTATTTCTTTGTCAAACTCGCTGGACACCCGACACGGGGTTTCTTCTGTGATGACTACAGTATCCGTTATCCATACAAACCAGATACCGTTTCTTCTCTCGCTGTGGTACTTTATGGCTATCTGATCCCACTGCTTACGGTAAATTTCTATTTTCGCACACTGAGTGAGTTATCCGTTCAGATTATTCTTCTCGAACTCCTCATTGCTGTTTATCGACGTTTCTCACAAGATGAAGATGATGCTTTTAAAGAGGTAAATCTGAATTTGTCCCGCTGATTTGCACACACACACACACCTCGGTCTCACAGGCTTGGCCACCAATATACAATTATGGTATAGCGTTTCTCATTGCCGCCGGATTGACTTTAGCGGTGACCACTGTGATAAAATACACACTGGGACGTCTGCGTCCGCATTTCTTGGATGCTTGCAAACCAGACACATTCTCAACCACGTGCACGGGCTTTATCGACAAGTACACATGTCAGAATACGAATAAGAAAATTGTGGAAGATGCATTGTAAGTTTTGAATTAGTCTTTCCACCCTCTCTACTCATAAAATTGCCAGTTTCAGCATGTTGCTGGACTGAGAAGATTAACTGTGTGATTGAATTGTTGTTCGTTCAGATAGTTAAATTTAATCATCTATTCTGGCCACGATGCCGTATTGCGGAATAAGTAAGGAATTGCATTATTAGTACTGGTATTAGTGGTAGTGGTAGTCAAATGAATTACTGTGTAACAGGACTACTCATCCTAGGGTAGACAAGTTGCATAAAGCAATGGATCAGATTTTACAGCACACGTTGGAATGACTTTTAAGGTGATATACAAGGGTGAAAGCTCATATTCACGAGGATCGACTCCCCGATCGTGGGAATCGGTGACCTAATCCCGGAGGC